CCATGCGTTTACGACCCCCCCCCCCTCCATCGCGGGCAAATACGACCCCCCTGTTGTGATGATCACAAAGATGGCGTGCCCTGGATAGGTCCAAACTTTACATTTGGTTGGAAATCTGTCCCAGAAGTGGGTTTTTTTTTCGAGCACGGAAGCGACACACATTTAACGCTTGACTGCTCTCTAGACTCAAAAGAGTCATTCCTCACCAAACGCGAAATGTTGCCCTCCTCAAAAACTGAACTTTGCGTCACGCCTGGCAAGACACTTCTCACTACGCCATGCTGCGTCCAGTTTGGGCTCGCTTCGGGGTTCCAATAAAGTGGCAACCGCGACTGGTTGTCCCTTCACTCGAACGAACCCTCATAACACGATTCAAAAAAGCGCTGTTCGAATTGAGAAGGCACATTCGAGATCAGTGTCTAAAAACACGTGCGGTGATCCATGTCTCACACAAATAGCCAGGCCTAGCTACCTTCCCTATCTCGCTGATTCAAAGCGTCTAGCTTTCAATAAATTACAATAAAAAACCTGAATAGCTCCTTCACGTATACCAGTACTGAGATTGAAGTATTCGGAAGAGTGATGCATCTGATGAAACGACCAAAACACCCAACTTCTAAAGAAAATATACTAATATGCACGACTTCAACATAATTCACAAGAGGAGTGGAACGTACTGGGGTTATATGATCAAATAAGAGATTTTAGGAAAATTAAGTTTGGTTTTTGTGCTTTTATTTCAAATGACACAGTACTCATTTGAACTCGGGATAGCCCAATGAAGCAAAAAAATTGTTTGTTTTGGGTGTCGCTACTCCTTCCTCCTGCCTAGAAGACCATCCTCCGCAGATCCCATGAGTTCTAAACAACGATAGAGCTCAATATTTAGTGAATAAAGGGCGCGATCACAGTCTCTCAGTCTCTTTCTTAAAAGATCACCTTCTTTCTCAAAAGATCATCAATCTCTGTAAGTCCATATTCATATTGTATGAGCAGTGGTCCACTCTTCTCCTCTAATACACACTTACCATGTATTGCACGATGACACAGATAGAAAACGAAATCTTGTGTGAAAAAGCAAAGCATCCATGTGAAAGCTGAATTCGGCAGATCTACGACATGCAACCATTCGTACACAGTCGGGTAAAACAAAGCCGAAATATCATGACCGCCAATTCTGAAATGGTATTGCAAGGAACCAGCTTTTTAACAAAATAATTAAATTGGGTCGAAGGTTTGATCTGGCCTCATATTCACAGTTGTGACTGAAGGTGTTCTATGCATGGAGGAAAAGCATCAGCGTAGGCCGGCCGCACAAGATTTTTTGCTTGGGTCACACTAAAGGAGGGTAGTAGAGTAGTAGAGTAGTAGAAAGCTAAGAAAAGATTTGAGTTTAGAGATTTTGCGGAGATTTACCTGTGGTGAACCCTCTCCCAAATCTTTCAACTCTTTGATTGTGTAGAAGCGAGACAGTTCTGCTTAACCTATAGGAACTCCTTTTCCCTTGCGACAGACGTTCGCATATTGAGGGGATTGAAGGAGTTCGTTGACCCAAAGGAACCGTATCGAAAAGAGGGTAAATCAGCGAAATACTGTTTGAACTTCTTGACGCACCTCAGGTAGCAGGAAAGCACTGACTGTGGGCAACTAGAGGGTCTTTGCTGTGCGGTGAAATAGCGTTAACTACAAACTTGATTTGGCGGGTGTCACGTTGTATTTACCACAACGTACTGTAGCAGAATCGTCTCGGGACTCCGACTGTGCCTCAGTAGCACTTAGCAGTCGTCGGGAAAAGGCAGGTTTCAGTCCCGCAGTATCAGCAGTAGTACCGGCGAGCTGCAACTGAGCAGTATTTGGCTGTAGTTGAGGTTTCTGCAAGTTTAAAGCAGAATAACTATTCCTGTCATTCTAGCGGATCGCTGTATCCAGTACGAATCTCGTCTTTGGGCACCAATACTAGGTACTTTGGGCATTCTGAAGCAAACCAGCCAATCAGAAGGTAGGGACGTGGTCTCACTATATGCGCCAAACGTCTGCATGTGAAAATGTTTCCGTTCCAAAGGAGAGCAACTGTCTTCTGTTTTGTGAGTGAGCAACTGGATTCCTGTGTCATATTTGGGCAACGACTGTGCACCTCAAGTGGTCGCTTGGAAATAGTTGCTCAAGGGACTGGATAATGGCAGAGACAGAAAGAGAGCGGGGTTGTTGCACAGATTTGGCGGCCTCAAAGGGATATTTTTGAAGGCTATGATATGTACTGCCAAATTAAACTTGAATACAAATAGAAAAATAGAAGTTCTGTATTTACTTCAAGAGCAGAAATAAAATCCCGGAATTCACCGACGTGACGGTATCGTTAAACGCGTACTTGCTCTTGTCTAATAGCAATAGCTCCAACAAAATCAATGCAAATGTCCATGTCATACCCTAGATTTCGAATATTATGGTGCAAGACTCTATTCGACAATTATCAACACTTTATCTCACATATTCAAACAACTTCTCTACTAAAAGGAATTGATCCCTCAAAATAAGTACGTTTGCGTTGCAGCGCGCTGCGGGCGCATTGTTTAATCGATCGATATCAGTTTCACGACAACGGTATGAACTCACTTAGGAGGTGATAGATGAGCAGTGAGTGTGAAGCACACTTTACCGGATCACTCCTCGGTGAGCTATATTCGGAATGGATTCCATGCCTCCACTGTTTTTCCATGAGTTTCGCTGCCCCAGTTCGGGAATTCGTAGCGCGCCATCGCATCATGCGCCCAGAGTGGCGAGGCAAACTACGATAGTCTTGCACTTTTCACTCGAATTTACCTATATAGAATCTTCTAAGCGTGTGCGTGTGTGCGTGCACGCGTTGAATGTTATAACATTCATAGCGCGAGTAAGAGCACGACCTCGTTCCCAAGAAGCGATACGGGAGATAAGATAGGAGCATGAATGGGCCGAATCACAGACAAGCGTTGATAAATCCGATAAGCTTCTTCAAAGAAGGAGGATCCAGGCAGATTTGTAGTCACTCACACCAGTGAGTGCCAGCCGAAGTATCCTCTTGCCGATGCATGGAGAGCAGAATGTTTCAGGTTCAGGGCATGTATGCACGCATGCAGTAGAAGGATGTTCTGCGCCTATGGCACACAGCTTTGATTTTCGGCTAGGCTGTGGATTTCTTAGATCAGCCCTTCATAGTCACTAGTGTTCCATGGGTATCTCAACAGGGCACGTTCGTTGTACGCTGAAGAATCCGTATGGGGAGGAGTGAGAGGCGCTGGTCGATGGAGCAAGAAGTAGGGATCGTATTTTTCCACCTCGCTCGACGGCACTTTTTTTTGGGGGGGAGGAGAGGAGAAGCTGAGGAATTTCCAGGATGTTTTTGAAAGAGGGAACTCTGGAAAGCTGCTAGAAGTGGGGGTGACATGGAAAGTAGGCAGAGCAGTGACCTTGAAAGGGGTCGTACTGAGAGAAGAACCTCCGGAGGGGGTCCTTTTCTGCTAAACAGCTGAATGTGCTCTGTTTCTCGTTGCGGTAGCCAGTTGTGATTCGATTAGTAGTGTGTTTTGCGACTAAATTCCTACCTGCCTTCTACGCTTACCGGGTCGAGGTAAAAATTCGGTATATCATCCGCATTAGTATAAATAGTCTCATTTGGTGTTACCATATAGAATAGATAGCGTATATTGTAAGGGTGCAAATCCGACAAAATTTTGGCAAAAATGTCGCTCATCTGAAAAGAACGAATACTGTTATACTCTATATCCTGGAGATGGAGGGGGCGTAGCTGTGCACTTCTTTTGAACATGGCGGCGGCTACCCTTCTGATGAGATAGTTGCGCTTTATGACTAAGAGGTTAACCACACCTACGTCCAACACAAGACGGAATGAATTTTCAGCAGAAACATTTTACAATGAAAGGATTCAACGTAACCAAACGAAGTACGCTGTCACGCCTACTCCATCACCGAGATATGGAGTATATCAACATACGTTAACACACAATATAAGATCCATCAACAGAAATAGAATAGAAAATAGAAATAAAAAATAGAATAGAAAATAGAAATAGAATAGAATTTGTCTTCCACAAAGGCAAAAAAATTGATACGAATCCATAATGTTTCTATTCTGTAGGCTTTATGATGTTCACTGCAGAATACGAGACCACAAGTCAGGAAAACGACTGATGCCGTTTGGACGCACTCGGTTTTGGTTGCTGGCGGTATTTATAAAGTGTTGTTTGCACGCACAACCTTAGCAGAGCGCAGATGATCCTCCATTAGCGCCAGCGCCAAGAATGAATGCCGTATTCGCGATCAGGATGTTAAATAACCCTCTGCGTACAAGTGTTCAGCAAATTTGGTGATCCAGGGCACTGCATAAATCAGCCAGCAGCCAAACTGAGTGCGTCCAAACGGCATCAGTATAGAAAACCAGGCCGTGTACAGTACCCCAACAATTGTCGTGAAATTGAATGTGTCGATCCTACAGGGGGGGAGGGGGAAGGCAGCTCCGCGTTGAGGCCGGGAAGCGAGAGCGACGCTGATTCCGCTCTCCACCAGTCAGGGAGAGAACAGGCAAGAAATGAGGAGTACTTTGTGCACTCGCTGGTCCTATGCGCTCAATTCCAGCGCAGCTCTGGGTACTGTATTTCGCCCGCTTCCCTACACTCATGCTTCAGCCTTCCAAATACGTTTGCGAAGGTTATAAATGTCATCTGAATCCTACAGATCGATTGGTTACAAAATTGAGTTTTTTTTTTGGGTTTTCTGCTACGGGCAAAAACTTGTCCCTTAGAAGCGCTTACAAAAAACACGAACCTTCAAATGCAAAAGGTGAAACGAAAACATCGTTTTTCCTATGAACTTCGATTGAGACGAACAGGGTCTCTAAGCTACCTCCTGGAAAACGAAAAGGGGTGGAAAATGTCTTTTACTGACAGCAGGGTCTACCGGAACCAGCCCTATCGTGCGCATTTTATTGCTACTGATGAGCCAGTGTTTGGATCATTTATGAAGTCCGGTTTGGAGTGCAGTGATCTGCAGAAAGTAGCATTTATGGAATCTCACTTGCTCGCAGCGTAAGTAAACTGCCGAGTAAACTGCTGAGCACAATCCACTGAATCGTCATGTGCTAATCCTATCCGTGACACATGCATCATGGGGAGCTGTTCGGCTTGAGGAAGGGGGGGTCGGGGCGTTTTGCATTTCTGCTTGTTTCTTTTGTTAGTTCCTGGTAAACTGTGAGTCATACCTTGGTGAGACCTGTACACCCCTACACTTCGGCTATGGAAGGAGGGGGGCATTTTGCACTTTCGCAGCTTCCACTGTCATTGCTTTACAAGAGTTGACATGCATTCGTAGAAGTGATACCGATCTGAAGAGAAACTACTTGTCCACGCTCTTTGTGAAGAATAGCACCGTTCAGCTCATCGTAAACAATGAACACACAATGGAGAAGCCGCCGAAAAGTGGGCAAAATGTCGGCTGCCCCCCCCTGCACACCTCCTCCTGACCGAGGCTGCCAAACACTCTTGTCAGTAAGGAAACTTTTGCTGTTTCATAGCTTTACAGGAATCACCAGGTCTCCACAGGAAACAAGTGATTTATGGTTAGCAGCTAAATGCCTCCTCAAGCCAACTGCGTCGTGCCCAACTACAACAAAAGAAAGACAACATGTCGGACTTCTAATTCACACGTGGCTGCGAATGACCGCGCTGAAAGGTACTCGCCCTACGACTTGTTGACCTTCGGGGTATTTTTCAATAGCTTTTCATATAACTGCTAGAAACAGCCCTGTGAATACAGTTTCTGAACACCTCGCCAATTTCTTTTTATCACGGTGGAACTGACGTCACACAAAAATGGAAACATTTGGCCGCAAGACAGTCATCAATACATTCGCCATGTCAAATGGCACTATGTGAACATGAAAATAGAAATAGACAAGCTGAAAAATAAGAAAATTATGAGAGACGTGCGAGATAGGTTGAAGTGGCATATCCAAACTTGTGAAGGCTGCGGGTGGCGGGGAGTTGCACAACACTACGCCCTTAATACGTCGACCTTCTGTGAAACTTTTTGCCGTATTCCTTCTATAGCATTCAACCATAAAACAATGATGTAATGTGCCAAAGAAAACAAGGTGATGTTCGACGTTTGGCGAGTACCGTTTAGTGACTGAATAAAGGCAAATGGCACGATAAATCGGCAGAGCGCTTAGGGGCGATACACCTAGCACGAAAAATATTATACACTTCAGCAGACCCTACGTGGCGCTGCAACATGCCCATCCAACGCCCACCGCAACCGTCCGCTCACAAATGACCGTACAGTCATATTGACTGCACTCTTATCCTTATTTATGGAGAACAATTGACATGAGGCGTTGTTACATGGTTGTATGAATACACACGTGCGTATCTACTCAAAAGTGGCGTTTGTTGGCACGATGTCAACAGTCGAAACTGGTCATCTAACGCGTGCAGAACAAGGGTTCTTTTGCAGACTTCTGCACTTCAACTTCTGCACGGATGTTTTAACGGTATAGCACCACTGCTACTATTTTTCGAGCAAGTTGCCAAATCCACCGTGTGAATTTGGCTTCAATGTATCTTAATCACAGCCGACGAAATATCTTGCAACCGGTGACAAAGTCACCGGAGAGATGGGAGGGGAGGAGAGGCGGTGGCTGAAGCGGTGAAGGAAAGTGAAGCGAGGCCCTAACAACCACCTTCCACCATAACCCATGGTGATGACCTCAATTGTTTTCGTTGATCCGCTGAAAGGCTGTCCTTGTGCCACGGAGCTTGACGAGAAATTTCACAGATCGGAACGACATCTATAGCCCAAATTACAGCTATTAATTTTCGGAAATTTTGCGAAATAAAACCCTTTACAATCCAAACCGAAAATCGCAGTCGTCGAAAATTTAGTTGATAACGGTAGAGTAAGGCAGAGTTCAAGCTTCGCGTTGACGCGCGTCGACGCCACACTGCGCGCTATTGTGTGCTACCAATGGCGAAGTCTGAATACAGCCTCGCCTTACAAAATCGAACCGTTTTTCAAAGGTATAGGGTCACCGCGCTCTGCGCGGAGGAGCGAGCGACGCCCCAGACTAGTTTCCTGCCTCGCCGTCGTCCAGTATAAGCTACATACAGGGAGAAGAGAAACGTCAACACCTCCACTAGGAGTCCTGTCTCGCGCTTGATCTCATATGAGTTGCTAATAATCGACAAGCGATGCATATCGCAGGATCGCGCAGGAAGAAAGATTATTAGCAGGAATGATACGCGCCGGGCGACAACAACGACAGAATCCACGCTCTTTTGTCCATCTCCAGATATCAACAAAAGAAAAAACTCGTCCAATCACGCTTCCATGATGGGGCATTTCGCGCCGGTTTTTCTCTGCTTCTTCCTCACTTGTGTTATCTATCATTTTATTACTATCAGAGCCGCAAAACTCACCATTTACGTTGGGGGGGAGGTGCACTTGCCCAACAAACCGCAAAATTTGTTTGACCCTAGCTGGCCCCATTAGGTTACACTTCAAAAAGCAAACAGTACCCTCTCTTTAAGGTCGGTCAACTCTGGCAATGTGCCGAGCGTGTATGCTCCGCAACAGTATTTTCCGCCAGAAATGCAACGAAAATGGACAAGTGAGTAGTGGTACTCCGGTGCCAATTCCATATTCCACCCCTACGCTACCTTCGAGGTGCAGCACTTGCGTAGATACCAAGATCCCGCAAAGAACTACGCACTCAGCGGTAGAGAACAACAAGAGTGAGAGGATGGCAGGCAAGCTAGCACGTTGCTATGCCTCAAGCGTGGTGAGTGATCGTAACAGCAGCGCTAGCGGCAGCCAGGGCTCAAGCGTGTGGGGATAAACCCCAATAGGAGGGGGGGATGAGGTCGTATTTGGCCCTCAGCGAGCATTGGGTCGTATTAGCTGAGAACATTTTCTTGTAATAGCTGATTTTTCTCGCTCGATGGACGTCCTAAAAGGAGCCGGCAACCGAGGAGGGTGTGCGTACCTGCTCATGATTTGGGGCGGGGGGTGTCGTATTTACTTTTGGCCTTTCAGGAGTGGTGGGAGTGGTGGTTTCCTGTTTCATGCGTAGTATGTCCGCTCCACAGCAAAATTTTTGGGAAAAAGTAGGGAAGTTTTCGGGAAATTTTGGAAAAAGTGGCAGGAAGTTGGGGAAAATCTGAGAATTGGTAGAAGGGGTCGTATTGTCTCGCGGCTTTTCCCTTTTCACATGTGCTAATTACCCCACCCCCTACACAGTACGCAGTGACCATGAAGATGGCTCCAGTGTAGCACCACCCTGCAGCCTCGTTCTCGTGCATTTTGAGCGATAAAAATGGAACGCTACTGCAGTTGTCGGATCCATTCCCCAGCCCTCTCCCCTCCTCCCCCCCCCCCCCTCCTTCCCCCGAAGAACGGCAGTGACCATGACCTGCGGAACATGTACAGTTTTTATTTAGCAGAAAAGGTACCACGTCGGAATAGGTATGTGTCGTAAAAAATAATACTTCTTAGAACTGGACCAATGCACAAATGTCACGAATAACTTGTTGTCGCATAATTGTGAAAGGGTTTATGATATCATAAATGAAAACTGGAACCGAAATGGACCGTTATCTTAGAACAGCACTTGTGATTCAGACACCTGGGCGACCATTGCATTGGTGCGGTAGGTTTTTATAGAGTGTTGTTTGGTCTGTG